TTCCAGGGGTGGCAACAGTCTCTAAGTACTCAGTTTTCTTGATGTTAAGGCAGAGTCCAGTTGAGGTGATCATTGCATGTTTGAACTTGCTGCTGTAGTTCACCTCTGATGGTGGAACCAAGCATAACATCATCTGCATAGAGCATAGTCCAGGTCATGCATGATAGTGTGCATGACCAATATAAACAGAAGTGGTGACAGTGCAGAGTTGGTGCACCCCAACCATCACTGGGAATCTGTTGGAGAGGCCAGCTGGGCATTGCACCTGAGTGCTGGTGTTCTTATATAGCATTTTGACACAATTAATTAGTGGTTCAGGTACTTGGTGATCCCAGAGGGCTTATCAGGTTAGTTGATGTGGAACACAATCAAATGTGTTCAGGTCTAGGAATGCTATGTGTAGTGTATCATGGTTTCGACCAATGCCCTAATAAAATCAGGAGCCTCAAACCATTGTGCAAGAAAAATGTTGTCTCTTCTCATGGTGTTTCTCTATCAGTTGATGAGCTGCAAAGATGGCATCTGCTGTTCCATATCCTTTAACAAACCTGCGCTGGTTGATGGTGAGTTGGGCGATGCTGTGAATATGTTAATCAAGGATTCTCTCAAAGATCTTCATAGTGTGAGAGAGAAGATGAATTGGGTGATAGTTGGCACAGTCATCTGGGTCACCCATGTTGTTGAAGATGGGAACTGTTACTCTTGTTGACCAATCAGTTGGTACATGGCCAGTGTTCATTAAAACATTGAAGAACTCAGTCAGCCAAGGCATCCCTGTGTATACTTCCTTTAGTTGCAGAAGTCCACAGGCAGATTGTCATGTCCAGGGGCCTTCAAGTTCTTCATTCTGCCCACAACATTGTTGACCTTAGTTATGAGTGGAATGGGTCCGTGAGTTGGTATGCTTCTGGAATTGGTGGATGTGGGAATTCAATGTTGGAGATCTCATTGAGATGATGATGCCATCGTTGCAGGATCTCCTGTTTGTCTTGGAGTCATTTGCTATCCTTGTCTTTCATGTACATGTAATGCTCAATGCAGCCTTCTTCTGTGCTTTGGCCACTTGGTAAATGTCTTTCTCCCCTTCCCTCATCTCCAGGAGGTCATATAGGTCTTGGTAGTGTTTTGTCCTGGCTTCAGCAACCACTCTCTTGGTTGCTCTTTTGGTGGTTACATAGTTCTGTAAATTCTCTTCGGTCTTATCTGTCTGCCAATTCTTGAAAGTTTGCTTCTTTTCCTGCACTTGTTCAGTCCACAGCCACACTTGTTTGTCAATTTAACGGTGACCAGATTTTTGACCATGGAATGCCAAGCAGTCTTTGAAAAGCTCAAGCAGCTGTTTGTGGCCGAACCCATACTTTAAACACCCCGACATGGATTTGTGGTCCAGGCTGCTGCAAGTGATGTGGCTGTGGGAGCCATACTGTTGCAGACAAATGGCTTACAACCATGCACTTACACCTCCAGGAAATTAACTGAGACCAAGAGGAGGTGGGCAATTTGGGAGAAGGAAGTTTTTGCTGTGCGATGGGCACTGTTAATTTGGAGACATTTTCTAGAAGGGGCAAAGCAGACTTTTGAGGTGTGGAGTGATCACAAAAATCTGGAGATCCTGAAAACTTCATAGAGATTGTCACCTAAGCAAGTTCACTGAGTTTAATTAACTGGTTTAATTTTGCACTGCACTACTTTCCTGGGGGAAAGAACTTTATGGCTGATGCTTTGTCCAGACTGCCCCAATACAACAGCATTAGGCCTGAAGTGAACTGACCAGTCATCCCTTCTAAGCAACTGGCTGCCCCTGTGGTTACCAGGGCTCAGAAAAAATTGGAGCCTGAGCTTCCCAGTAACTTATGTGAAGAGATGAAAGGGGCACTAAAGAATGATAGGCTTTATCCCACATGAAGGATTGTACCATGCGAGATGAGCACTAAATTATACATGCTCAACAGTTTGAGGGGGACTGTTCTGCAATGGGCCCATGATTCGAAAGCCCCCAGCCATTTTAGTTTTGTGAAAAGCTTACATCTGATCAAGCAATGGTTTTGGTGACCTTCATTGGAAAATGGAATTGACACTTATGTAGCCAACTGCCTCATCTGTCCAGTGGCTAAACGGACCCTGGGAAAGCTTGCCAGATTCCTCCAGAGTGTTGCCAATCCTAGGGCCCCATGAAGAGAAATACCCATACATTTTATAGTAGAATTGCCTGAGAGTAGGGTAAACACAGTCATTTGGGTGGTTACAGATTTATTCTCCAAACAGGTACATTTTGTCCCATGTCCTAAGATACCTTTAGTTTAAGAGCTCACTGTTTATTCAACATATGTATAGGTTACACGGAGTCCCTGATCACATTATCTTGACAGGAGGGCACAGTTCATCTTCAAATTTTGATGGGAATTCCTATGGCTGTTCGGTCCACCTAGGGGCTAAGCTCCACTCACCACCCTCAAACTAATGCAGCTTGTGAATGGACCAACTCAGTTCTGGAACAGTACCTTAGGTGCTACATAAATTGGGCTGACTTGCTGTCCTTTGCAGTGGTCAATACATAGTAGTACTGGCTTCACTCCATTCAAAGTTGCTTCTGGACAGGATTTCAGTCCCATACCAGAACTGCCTCTGGAGAAGCCTCTAACCCCCTACTTAGTGGAGTTGATTGAACAATTGCAATGTACTTCGCCAGTCACACATAAAGTACTGGACAAGGCACATCAGGCCCATAAGAAGCAGGCTGATAAAAAGAGAGCCAAACCAAAAGATTTCCAAGTGGGGGATAAGGTGTATCTATCCACTAAGTACTTAAAACTACCCCAAAATAAAAGAAATTGGGACCTAAGTATCTGGGCTCTTTCCTCAGAGTCAGAATCATTAATCTGGCTAGTATACAATCAGAGCTACCAAAAAACCTTAGACAGATCCACCCTGTATTTCATGTTAGCTTACTCAAGCTTGAGAAAGAGTCTCCCCTTTGGTCTGCCCAGCCTGCCTCTCCAGTATCCCTCCTTATAGAAGGAGAGCAAAACTTTGAAGTCAAAGAAATCTTTGGTTCTAGGAAATGGAAATGGAAACTGCAACATTTGGTTGCTTGGAAACAGTTACCTCCTTCACAATCTGAATAGGTGGATGCTTAAAACGTTCAGGCTCCCAAGTTCCTTCAAGTGTTTCATAGTGAAGGGAGAACCCATCCCCAGGTAGAGGAAAAAAAACATGAGACAGCAAATAACTCAAACACAATACAAATAAATTAAATCACAATCGTTTAAATCATTTCAAACTAAAACACAAGAGAAGAAAAAGCCCTGTCTGGCTCATTGCCAGAGCTTACAGCTTCAGGCTAGATCAAGTTGAAACACAGAGGAAGCAAGACAGCTGGTGCTCATTAAACCAATCACCAAAACAAAACAGAAGATAGTCTGATTTTTTAGCTCTGCTTTCTTTCAGGAACAGAGATTAACCTTTTCCTTTCCCAACAAAATTGAATAGGGAAAATTATCCCATTAATATACACAGGATTAAATGTCACCAAACACAGAATTAAAATGTCACCAAAACCCAGTTTTAGACCAAAACTCAGAAAGGTTATATAAACTCACGTTTGAATGTCAATCTTCATAGCTAGCTGAATGTCACTCATCTTGGTTTCTTGTCATTAAAAGCTTTTTTCCACAGCTATGCTTCGTTATTCAATTATTTCTTCAAAGCAAGGATCATTGCATCCTGACTGGAAGAATCCCAACAGGGGGAGTATTTCCTCCCAACAATTTGAAATATCCTGCCAAACTGTAATAAATTCTGTTGTACTATATGTATTAGTTTGCGTTTTGCTTTTCCTTCTTTTATAGGGCTAATGCCCCTGCTGCAGAATATCAGCCAGATTTCCGGCATGGGTTTCTTCAGCATGCTTGCTATTGGCTGCCATGGTAATGGGGAGGGGGGCCTTGGGTATTTGAGGTGGGGAAGCTGATGTGTAGTAGTCCAATGAGAACTGAAAGGGACAATTGCACTCATGAACTATGGTGCTGCTGAGTGGAGTTGCTTACACTTTGTCAAGGCCAGTCATCCTGAGACTCCAGACATCATATTGGACATTGATTGGACTCTCAGTGCAGGACTCTGGTAGGAAGGATTTGGGGTGACTTTCAGTCTGTAACTTTCGTGCGTTTTGAATCAGATCTCACCTTGCTTTTGCTGCTATCATTTCAAACAGTAATAAAAGTACCTCTTCTCTAAATCAATGGAGTTGAGGGTCTTCTTTCTTCAGTTTTGAATGTAGGCCTGACATTTTCCCTCTGATCTGTGCACATATATAGTATTATAATACTAAGAAAGGTAAGTCAGGTAATCAATATATAATAGATCAGCAAGCCATGTCTAATTTGAGCAATTTATTTGTTTTAATAAGTAATAAATTCAAAAAATGAATTTTACAAGAAGAATAGAATTTAAGTATCCTATGTTTTAAAATGGTATTAAACAAGGTGAAGGTGTAATTATATTCTGAAAGAGCTGAAATATTGTGTATTAGCCTCAAATTTAGTAAGCAGAACAAGGATTTTAAGTTGTATGATTACTTCTTTAAAAGACTCTACCATTCAAGAAAGGGGTGGAGCCTAAAATAAGAAAGATGGCCCAAAATGAACAAAATATGAATCTCAAATCATGATGTTGGAACTATCCATGGCTTTAGAAATACAATTCAAAGACCCAATTATGTATGGGATTTTTTTTTCTGTAGACAAAAGTGACAGAATGATGCTGAATATTTTTTTTTCTTACGACCATTTTGCGCTCTGGATATGTTTCCTGGCAGTAGTAGGGTGCTTGATAAATCTATTTATCCAGAGTAAATCTCACGTAGTAGCTTCTTCTTAGATAAGTGAGTAGATACATAGCCTCTGTGCTGCTAAATTAATTTTGATCTCACCAATTTCTTTTCTGCTATATACTCATTCACTAAAATGTTTTTAAAGAGCTTTTCCTTCTGTTTCTTTCAGGATGAGATGGGTATTGCTTGTGAAGTGCTGGAACAGGACTCAGACTTCCTTAAGTGCAGTGTGGGCTTTCCCTTCATGAAATCTAAATCCAAGGTATTGCTTGATGCTTTCCTACAACAGTGAGTTTCCCTGCATAGCAAAGAAATGTGTGGAGTTGGGGCCTTAATGCTCTTTGAGTTTGCTTGTTTTCTTGCAGGTGTTTCATTACCCAAACTAGGTAACATCATCAGTGCTAGAAATCTGTGGACCATAGATGACAGATAGTCCTCACTAACTGACTGCACTTGAGACAGACAACTAAGTAACACAGGCATTAAATGAAAATTCATGTTACTATGCCAGTCTATGATATCAGTTCTGGTTGCAGTGGTTAAGAGAATCACAATGGGTGGTTAAATGTGCCATCACTTGTCTGTGGCTTACAACTTCCTGCTGGCTTCTTCGTTTATTTTGCTTGTTGGAAGCTGGCTGAGAAGGTCTCAAATGGCAATTACATAACCATGTGGTGCTGCAACCATACTAAATGTGTGCCAGTTGCCAAGCACTGAAATGATGATCACATGACTGCAAGGATACTTTGACTGCTGAAACTTATAGGACCAGTTACAAGTCTTATTTTTCAGCACTGGACTAGCTCTTTGTTTTTTTCCTAGAAGGAGCTGCTAATTTTTCCTCACTAGGTAAAATTTAGAAAAAGGACAGTGATAACTATTCATAACCACAGAATCCTAAAGGAAGTTGACTAGGAATTCAAATAGGAATCTTTTTTAGCTGCCAGAAAATGATTCTGTGAACCTACTTTGGCAAAGCTGTCAAAGATGGCTGTCTACCATTGGTGTCCCTAGTTGCTCAGCCAGGTTTTGTATTTTTGCTTGCTATTCAAAGGATTTAAAGGTCAGATGAATACAGCACAAAACCAATAATAATAAAATGTCTTTTCTTTTCAACTTTTTTTAAAAATAAATTTTATTAAGTTTCCAAATTTTAAAAACATAAAATAAAACTTTATACATTGTTATCAACATCAAGACATCTTTTGCATCTCCTCACATTTTTCAGTATATGTATTTACTTATTCCATTACATCTTACTCTAACTATAAATCAATATCTTTTATCCTTACATCTCAATCTTCTCCATGGTATATTTACATATTTACATATTCCCTCATTCTTTTCCTAATTGCCATTTTCTTTTCTTTTTATTTCTAAACCACTCATACCAGGCATCCCAGGCCCTATAATAAATTGAATCTTCTCTATCTTTTATTTTCATCATTAGCTCATCCATCTCTATACAATCTATTATTTATTTTATAACCATGCCTTCCGGTGAAACCCTTTTTTCCTTCCAGAGTTGTGCATACGAAATCCTTGCAGCTGTTAATATATGTAACATAATATATCTATCTGTTTTATTGCATTTTTGTGTTATTATACCTAATAAAAAAGTTTCCGGATTAAATTCAATTTTCTGGTTTGTGATTTCTTCTATCCATTGTCTAGTTGTATTCCAATATTTTTTCACTTCCTGGCATGTCCACCATGTATGAAAATAAGTGCCTTTTTCTTTTCCACATTTCCAACAATTTGGGTCTGAGTTAAACATTTTTGCCAATCTACCGGGAGGAAAGTGCCATCTGTAGAACATTTTGTATTGATTTTCCTTGTATGCTGTGGATGTAATTAGTTTGTAATTTGATCCCCACATTCTCTCCCAATTTTCCAGGTCTATATTGTGGCCAACATTTTTCGCCCATACCACCATTGTCTCTTTGACCACCTTCTCTTCCATTTTAAAATCTAGTAGAAAGTTATATATTCTTGAAATCATTTTCTTTTCCATTTCTTGTAGAATTTTATCTAATTGATGCTTTTCCAAATTGCAGAAACCAAATTGTTCTTTGTCCTTCTGATATCTCGCCTGAATTTGCATGTATGGCCATCAATCTATCTTTATATTTTGTTGCTGTAATTCTTGTCTTGTTTTTAATCTTCCTTGTGTGTCTAATAGGTCTTTGTAATGCCTCTTTTTTCCCAGATCCATTGCATTTGGGTAGATTTGTGCTTCCATAGTTGACAACCAGTTCGGTATTTTAGTATAATGATTCTTTTTAATCTTGTTCCATGTCCGAATTAATGAATCTCTAATCATGTGTCTCTGAAAATATGCATACTGTTTACATTTCCCATCCCATAGGAAACTATGCCACCCTCTCTGCAAGCCGTGACCCTCTATCAACAATACTCTTCTATTTTCCAGGTTGATCCAATCTTTAATCCATACCATAGCCGCAGCCTGATAATACATTTCCCAGTCAGGGAGTCCAAAGCAACCCCTTTCTCTTTTGTACTGTAACATTTTCATTTTTATCCTAGCTTTTTTCCGATCCCAAACAAATTTATTTATTATTCGATCTAATTCTCCAAAACAGGTTTTATCCAATCTTATTGGTACAGTTTGAAAAAGATATAGCATTTTTGGTAGGGTAGATATTGTAATTGCCGCAATTTTCCCCAGTAGTGATAGCTGTAATTTCCCCCCCATTTCCAATTCTTTTTTGATTTGTATTATTAATTTGTCATAATTATCTTTTTTGATTGAAGGGCATCTTGCTGTTAACCAAATACCTAAATATTTTACCTTTTTCACACTTTGCATTCCCAATTTTCCTTCTAATTCTTTTTTTTTTTTTTTTTTGCTTATCTTTTAAATTTTTAGTCAGTAATTTTGTTTTGTTTTTATTAATCTTAAGACCTTGCCAAATTCCTCTATTTCCTTTATTAATTTTACTCCCGCATCCTCTGGATCTTCCCAAAAAAATACTATATCATCGGCAAATGTCTGCTCCTTTTTAATTAAAGCCCCTTTGATTTCTACATTTTTCCTAACATTTTCCAATAAGTTTTCTAAGGTAAGAATAAACAGAAGGGATGACAGTGGGCATCCCTGCCTTACTCCCTTGTTGATCTTGAATGTTTCCGTTCTGTCACTGTTCATTATTACACTGGCCATCTGTGTCATATAAATTGTCAAAATCAATTTAATAAATTTAATAAATTGCCAAATTGCATGCTTATTAATTATTGTATTATGAACTGCCAATTAACATTGTCAAATGCCTTTTGCGCATTGAGGAAGACCATTGCCAATTGTTTTCCTGGGTTTGCTTCATAATATTCTATTATATTCAATACCATTCTGGTATTATTTTTAATTTGTCTATTCCGTAAGAATCTGTTTTGGTCGCTATGAATGATCTGATTAAGGGTTTTTTTCAATCTTTCTGCCGTTATGGACATAAATATTTCATAATCAACATTTAAAAGGGATATGGGCCTATAATTTTGAATTAATTGATGGTCCAAATCTTCTTTTGGGATCAATGTTATGTACGTCTCCCCCCATGACTTAGGTAAGTTTGCTGTCATCAGTACCTCATTATAGAGTTCTAATAATTGCATTTCTAATTTTTCTTGGAGCGTTTTATACAGTTCCCTTGGGAGACCATCCGGTCCTGGTGTCTTATTGTTTTTCTGTTCCAGGATTGCATCTTGCAGTCCTCTCAATGTTATTTCCCTGTTTATCTCTTCTTTATCCTCTTCCAGGATCACAGGTACTCCTTTTCCTTCTAAGTAATGTTGGATATTTCCCTCTGGTACGTCTTCCCTACTATATAATTCTTCAAAAAAACTTTTAACAATATGTTTTTTCTTTTCACTTTGATGTTGTAGTGTACCATCAGCGTCTTTCAATTGTTGGATTGCTCTTTTTTCTTTTTCTTTCTTAAGTCTATAGGCTAGCCACCTTCCCGGCTTATTCGCGTGTTCAAAATAATTATGTTTTATCTTTTTCATGTCCTGTAACCATTCATCTTGTGCTAACATATTCAATTTATGTCTAATCATTATCCTCTCCGTATTTGCTGTCTTATTATGTGGTGTTTTTTCTAGTGTTTTTTCTAACTCCTTAAGAGTATCTAGTAGTTTAGATTGTACTCCTTTTTTTCCTTATATCTACATGTATTATGTGAAATTGCTAGGCCCCTGATATATGCTTTAGTCGTGTCCCATAGGTTTGGAATTGATGTTTGTTGTTTTTTGTTTTCCTTCAGAAAGAACTCCAATCCTTTTTCCATCATCTTAACACATTCTTTTTCTTTCAGGATCTCCTTGTTTAGCATCCATCTTCTGTTGTTTTTCAATCCTTTCCAAATTATTTTAATGGGATTATGACCCGCCCATGTGTTAGATTCAATGTCTATTTCTTTTATATTACGTTCCATTTCCCCATTTGTCCATAACATATCCAATCTTGACCATGATGTGTGTGGTGCTGAATAGTAAGTTTACTGTTTTTTATCTGGATTTCTTTCTCTCCATATATCTTTTAATCCTAATTCTTCCGCCACTTGATAGAATACTTTTGATAATGTTTTCCTTTTTCCTTTTTTCCCCTGGATATTCATTATTGTAATCTTTTCCTAAATTTGCTATTGCATTGAATTCACCTAGCAGGCATATATTCTCATATTCCTGTTCTACTAATTTTCTGTATAGTTTGGTATAAATTTTTTCTTGTTTCTCGTTCAGCGCATATATCACTGTCAATAACATTTTCTTATAATTTATATAAACTTCTAACATCAAAATCCTACCCTCCTCATCTGCATATACCTGTTTTGCTTGTAAATGTTTCCTAATATATATTGCTATCCCCCTCTTTTTTGTTGGGCTAGAGATACGTATAAATCTCATAACTTTGGTGCTTCTAACAGTTTACTTTGATGTTTCTGGATATGTGTTTCTTGAAGGCATATAATATCTAAGTTCAATTTCTGTAGTTAGTTATCATTTTTTTCCTCTTAATTTGTGAATTTAAATCATTGATGTTAATGGAAATCAATTTAATTTCTTCCGCCATCTTACTCTGTAGTTGTTTCTTGTTGAAGTTTATTTGCTCTTGTTTGGTGTCTCATTCTTACACCTTCTCTTTCCACTTCTTCCTGCTCTCTTTCCTCTTGTTCTGTTTCTCTTTCCTCACTTGATCTTCTTCTTGGCTCCTACTTTCCACTTCCTCTTTGCTGTTCTGGT